ACTATAGATTCACAGGACATTACAAAAGTGGTGTAGAGAAGTTCTGTGTAGCTTTCACTCAGTTTTCTCCATTGGTTACATCTTACGTAACTATGCTACAATATCAAAACTAGGAAATTAACATTGGTGTAAAAAGATATAGTTTTATGTCATTCTATCACATACGTAGGGTTACTGCAACTACTGTTGCAATTAAGATACAGAACTATTCCATCAGAAATTATTGGATTTAAGTACGTGTACAGTTATTTAGAAAACACATACTTAAAAAGAAATAGTACCTGGAAAAAAAAAAAGAAAACACATACTTAAATGTAATGTCTAGGCTGCTGATAGACTAGAACTTCTCTGAATGAATTCAAATCATTTTGTCTCAGATTTAAAGTCACTTACCGATCCTTTCTTTTTTAATATATATGCTGTTGCAGTAGTGGGTTAAAGGAGGGGGTTCTGATCTCTCTTTTCCTGTTGGGTGTGTATTGTTCCCCTTAGAAAGATGCATGGACCAGAGCTAAATGCTGACATTCAAGTATTTCAGGAATAAAAAATATTGAAGGAAAAAATGTTATCTCATTTTTTAAAAAATTATTTAAAAGTACTTTGTAGTGAGTCCTGCTTTTTACATATTTTGTACTTTCATATGTTACCATTGGTGCTAAAGGTGATGCCTTGTTCATAGAGGTTTTGTTGCCATAGAATTGGAAGGGATATGATGGTGATGGTGATGATGCTGATGACAATGAATATTTTCATAGTAGGTACCATTTACTGAATGCTGATATACCATTTACTATGCATACATATTTTAGTCAATCTTCATAAGGGCCCTATTGGGGGAATAATATTATTATCCCTATTTTATTATTTTTTTAAAAATTTATTTATTTGAGAGAGAGAAAGCACATGCAGGGGGAGTGGCAGGCAGAGGGAGAACCAGGCTCCCCGCTGAGCAGGGAGCCCAATGCGGGGCTCTATCCCAGGACCCTGGGATCATGAACTGAGCCAAAGGCAGATGCATAACTGACTGAGCCACACAGGCGCCCCTATTATTCCTATTTTAAAAATGAATAAACTGAAGGTCAGCAAGGCTAAATAAGTTGTACTAGTTTCCATAACATGATGTAATGTACTTGCAATTCAAACCCGCTTCTGTCAAATTTTGTTTGTGTTTATAATCATTATGTTCACCAAAAGAATTTTGTCTCTTCTCTTCTGGCAGGATTGCCCTGAAACCACTAGAGGAAAGTTTTGGCTTTAAAATATCCATAGAAGATTATTTCAAGGCCTCTTCAAAAACTTACACCAGTAGTCTACCTTACGAATCTAATTGCAGAAACTATATCCCTTTACTACATGATAAACCCATGTCCACATTTCTGATCCTTACTTATGTATTTTTACCATATCATTTCTATTTTAAAATAATAACCATATACTCATTCACAAATAACCTCAATCCCTAAGAATTTGGTCTCAAATCCTTGGCTGGATATAAATCTTAGTTTTACTCTTTGTTAGCTGCTTGAGCCGGGAAAGTTATTTAACGTCTCTATTCCATACTGTCCTCATCACTGCTAGTATAATCATAGTGTTTATATCCTAAAATTATTATTTGAACTCTAATAGTTATGGAAAGAACCTAACTCACTGTTTAGAACTTGAGTTGTCATATAAGTAAGCAATATAATAAATAGGATTATAGATATTACTACTTCTTATTATAGATATTGTTACTGTATCTAGATCTAATAATTCAGTTATTTGGTTTTTCTCCTTGAGACCATTTCTAGCTTCTCTAACATTTCACTAAACATGGGATTAAATATCACCAACATTTCACTAAACTATAGGACTAAATATCATCAGTTCAAGATATGATTGGTAACAAATACAGCTTGTGATTTTACTAAGTTTTGGAGAAATCACAAAATTATCTGCAGTAAAATAGTTGTGTAATCATATTCCATTCATTTGTTCATTCAAACACATGTATTTGATGCTGTTGCCTTTTATTGTACACCAACTGTTTGATCTATTTCCAAATTCTCATAGATATTTTCCTCCCTTTTGAAGACTGGAAATTATAAAAAGCTGTCTGTAACAGCTGCTTTGAGGTCATCTACGTATGTTGACTGCAGGTGGAAATCTCTTTCACAGAGCCCTAAATAGTAGGTGGTAAAATTTGGCCTTTGAGGGAGCAGGACTCTACTAGCCTTTTGTACAATTTATCATCCACAAAGTGTGTTAAGGTGCTTTTGATCTTTGGAAATAATATCTTTCAAAGTAATGTGTTGCTTATATGTGACCATTGGCCCTCTTTAGGTATCTCAGTATCTTGCTGATTTCAATGAGTGAATGTATTTTTAAGATGGTACACTGATGACTCAATTTAATAGACGCTAGATCCTTTTGAGATCCATTTGGGAGGATCGAATGAGAGGAGGTTTGTGAGTGGTGCTTTGAAAACCATAAAGCACTAAGTAGCCATAAGTCATTTTATTATGATAATTGCCATCATATTTATTAAATTTTTGGTTTTGCATTAAAAGTTCTTGCTTTCTGCAAGATTAAGGGTGCGATTCTGCCAAATATTAACCATAAAGAGTTTGTAAAAATACATTCATACTATTCTTTGCATTTTCTTATATTTCTTTATGGAACATGTTTCAGGCACAGAACTAAAAATTTGGGGTCACAGAGAAATTTGTGGAAGTTTATAGGCTTTGGTTTATAGAGACTTGAAGTTTTTTCCATCTCTCTGGTATTTTATTCATGTCAGTTTGCATGGCTTCTTTCCTTTCCTTCTCCTCCTCCGCCAGGTTTGGTTTTGAGCTTTGGATTCAAAGAAACCCCAAAGTCAAAACAAAATGGTCAGAACTGCTGATTCTTGTTTTGCAAACTTTTTTAGTGCAGCATTCACAGGAAGAGAGGTCACTGACCAGAAACTAGGACTAACTTCACCCAGAATGTTGGCAAAGTTCAGGAACCTTTGAGTGAACTTGCCCCCAGATAGATATCTATAATAAAACTTAAACATTTTTCTACTTTATGTTAAAGATAATTTAATGAAATAATATCACCCTATAAAAAGTGGATTTAGTAGTTAAATTCGGTATTAATCTACCAGTTATTTTTGATAAAAACAAAATAATTTACCTTTTGTATTAAATACAGTCTCTTGGCTTTTCAAATTGCCGGTCCAGTTTGGAAGATCAAATGTAAAATGTACTTAAGTGTCTTCATTGCCTTTGAAATTTTCTTTGGAGATTTGTAATTAAGAAAAGAGTTACGCTAAACTCTGCTTATCCGATTTCAAATCAGAATTTTTATAGCTTTGCTATAAACCTTCCACCATCGTGTTTTTGTGATGGAAAGGCTGATAAATGCCATAATATATACCAATCCAAGGGTTTTAATTGTATGTTCCTGCAGGAATTATGCGTACTTGCATAATATTCAGTGTTCAGTGCTAATTTTGCCAAACTCTGCTTTCACACTGGGCAGCCGTAAAAGATAATCGCCCTGAATAGCTGTCTATTGATGGCAAAGGCTTTGATTATTTCTACTTTCCTTGGAAAGTCTGGTTATGTCTCAAATATGATCTCATTTAGATTTTTTCTTGGTTTACATGTCTGAATACTAATAGTAACCGGATAAGTGTGGGGAACTTAGTTTGACACCAAAAGGCAGATTTCAGTCAGTGAATTGTATATAAATAAAATCGCCTCCAAGCAGCATCTGAAATGATATTTAGATTCCAAATGTCCAAATAACGTTTAGATTTCAAAAACATTATTAGAATTTTCCAGAAGTAATTGACATTAGGATTTTTTAACCGGTGGAAGGTATTAAAAAAACAATATCGACTTATATTTTATTCATGTTAGTTTAAAAGATAAAGAATCATATATTTTAACATAGGATGTGTTATACACTAAAAGCAGTTGTACTAAAAAGTACGTTGGGGGCACCTGGGTGGTGAAATCAGTTAAGCATCTGACTCTTGGTTTTGGCTCAGGCTCAGGTTGTGATCTCAGGGTCCTGAAATCAAGCCCTACCTTATGTTAGGCTTGGTGCTCACCCCAGAGCAGCTTGATTGGGTTTCTTTTTCCCTCTCCCTGTGGCTCCCACATTCGCTCAAGCTCTCTCTCTCTCTTTCTTTCTCTAATAAGTAAGTAAATAAATAAATCTTAAAAAAATTACACTGACAGATGGTAACTGCATCCGTGGTGAGCATAACATAATGTATAGAGTTGTTGAATCATTATGTCGTACGTCTGAGATTGATGGAATATTGTGTGTCAGCTACAGTAAAAAAAAAATTAAAACTAGACTAAATTTATGGATCTTAGATGAAAAGATTGAAAAAGAATTACAACTGTCACACTGCTTATAAAAGTTGGGTGTCAAGATATGGAGGTATAGTAGATTCATGTTCTAGATGCAGATGATCGTGTCTGATCTCTATGGATGATTTCATGTGAGAAATAAGTCAAGCCATTTCTCAGTGTTTATAATCCTTATTTGGCTTCAAATTATTCTATCAGTACAATGATTAAGAAAATGTCTTAAGGGACTTTACATTTTAAAGCAGCTTCTAGACATAAAAAATTACAAAGAGCAAAACATTTGCGCTTTAACAGATTCAAGAATTGTGGACATAAATCTTCTAGTGATAATGATGAAATTGTTTTTCACTTACAATCTCTAGATATTATTTACTACACTGAAGAGGTATTCACTGTAGGATATTACGTGCTTATTAAAAATAGGACAATATGGTTCAGAGTGTGAGGGAGAGGATTAAGGATGGTGGATGCTTGTATTTACTCTTTAGGACCCAGTGATTTTGAGGTCTTTTTTCTACAGAGTTTTTTATTTTTAATTTCTGGTTTTCAAAAAAATATTGATGATTCCTAGCATTGAACCATTTTTTTAAAACTTAACTCTCATAGATTTCTTTCTTTCTTTCTTTTTTTTACATGATGTTTAATTCTCAGGAGGACTTTATGTGGGAGAAGGAAGGGAGAGTCTGCAAGATCGTTAAATTTTGAACCCATTCACACTATACATAAAATGTCAACACATTTTTAACCAATTAAATAAATAACTGGATAAACATGAAGTATTGATGGAGCCACTAACAGTCCAAAAGAAGTTGGGAAACAGAATACTATTTAATGAAAAGTTGAGAAGTAATTAGTTATGTCCTTCCAACATATTAAAATTAGTAATTTTAAATTTATCTTTAAAAATACAGAAAGAAAGTTTAGTCTCATTAGCCAAAAAAATTGTCTAGAAAAAGAAGAGAAAAATGAGTAATTTTACTTTATAAGACTGACGTAGGGGTCATTATCCAAATTTCAATTCATTTTATTAAAGGCACTAGAGAATAAAAAATGTACTCCCTGATTTTGCTGTTTTTTTTTTTTATCTTATCTAGGTGGATTTTTTTCCCCTTTTACCTGTTTATGCAGATTGTATGGTAGAAGTAGAAAAAGTCCTGGTGAAAAGACACAGTCAAAATATGAAATCATCTTCGGTAGGGTGGTCATTTCAGAACTATTTCAGTTCCTATAGATAAAAGAACTAGGAAAAGTTTTAAATGAAGACACTTGAGAGACAAGCAAGTCACTGCAGTGTTGGTGGGCAGGAGTGTGAACTGGCAGAACCCACCTGGGAAGACAATCTGACCATTTGTAGCCACAAACTTAAATGTTCATGTGATGAAGAAATTTTACTTCTAGTTATCTAATACCAGGAAATTACCACAGGCAGAGAAGACATTTAAAAGAATGCTCTTTGCATCATTGTTTATTTTTATTTTTTTTCATTGTTTATTTTTTAAAAAGGAAGTATCTTAGCTATCTACTTGTAAAGAACTGGCATTGAATTATGATACGTCGTTATGACCAAATACAGTAATCAAAATTATGTTTGAATAGTATTTAAAGTCAGGGGAAAGGTGCTCATTCTATATTGCTGAATGGAAAAAGACCTTCATCCAAAAGTATCTCAAATTTGTTAAGCATATTTAATTTATATCTGTACAGAAAGAAAAAAGTAGAAGGAAATAAAAATGCTAACTATGGCCTTGTGGAGTGATTTAAATTTTCTTTTTTTAACTTATGTTTTCCAAACTTTCTAGGGTGAGTATATTGTACTTATTAATAAAAATGTATTATATTCCTAAAGGTATAAGAGGGAGAATTGTGTGTGTGTATTGTGTATATGTGTGTGCAAATGTGTGCGATGTGAAGAGGCAAAATAAAGTATTGGGATTTATCCTTTCGAACTTCTGAATTTATGGTTAGACGGTACTTGTTAACTCAGGTTCCTCCTCACTTACCTACTCCTATCTGAATAACCCCAGTTCGGGTGTTAGCAGGTCGCCCACAAAGCAAAACCACGGAGTGGCAGAGCATCCAAACTGGAGGTGGGCTCTCGCCTAGGTCCTGCTTCAAACCTCCTCTCCATCACATATATTTTCCAAAGTCGAAGAATGGAGTTTTTGCTTTGCCTGTTCCTAGATGCAGCTAGAAAGAAAGCTGTCTTCTCTACCTACAGCTAAAAATTGGAAAGTGTGCACTCAAACTGCGCTGCACCTGGGAAGACCAGTCATTTTCCCGGAAGCGCAGGGGGTAAGTCCCGCTCGGCGGCCGAAGTTCGGAGAGCCGAGGATCCGGGCAAGCCCGGGAGCATTCCCGCCTTCTGAGACCGAGCTCCTTCGGTCCACCTCAGGGTTCAAGCTTTGGTCTCCTGGAGCCACCCGAGCAAGGTTTCTGGTTCTGGAAATTAAGGGGAAGAGAGGCGAAAATGATGTCCCTTCTCAGAGGTCGCCGCCTGTCCCCTGGACTCTCCTTACGTCCTCATCTTCTTCCTTCTGTCTCTAGACAAGCCAAAGAGGATCAGACCAGAGGTCCGGAGTCCCTTGGCCTCTCAGAAGACCCGCACCCGAACGCTTTGCCAATGATTCTGTTGTAGGTCCCCCCTAAACGCGCGGGCGGGAGCTGCGTGCCTGCCCGGGATTGGGGATTGGGCAACACTGACTCACTCTTGAGGCTTTAAAAAAAAAAAAAAAAAAGGGGAAAAAAAACTTTTTAATTTTTTTTCTTTTCTTTCTTCCCTTTTCTTTTCTTTCCTTCCTTCCTTCCTTCTTTCTTTTTTCTTTCTTTCTTTCTTTCTTTCTTTTTTTTTTTTTTTTTTAAGAAAATGGAAGAGCTTGGACTCTACAGAAGCCCCGGAAATCTGCAGTTTGGGGAGAGGATTAGCTCCTCACCAACAGGCCGGCCCTCGGGTCAACAGCCCAGCGCGTTCAAACTCGTAAGGCGCCCCGCCCGCCCCTGCCCCAGACTCCAATTGAGAGCGTTCGCGTGTATATTAACTCTACGGCTGCCACTTCTTGAGGGCTGTGGGGATTTCGCAACCCTTAACCAAACTCCAGAAGGCCAGACATTCTGCCTTGAAGAGTCCCTCCTGGCCTGTCGGCCGCACCCTGCTGGGTCCTGAAGCACCCCAAGCCCGCGCGCGCCCGGCAGGAGGGCGCAGACACCTCCATCCCGCTCCGGCTCAGCCGGTATCCTTCTTTTTGCAGCTCTCCAAGAGCTCGGTCATGAAGGAAATGTAGACGATGGCCAGGCGTAGGGTCTCGATTCGGGACAGCCTCTTCTCGTAAGCAAAAGTGGGCACCTTCCTTCGCAGCTGGTCGAAGGCCTCATTGAGGTTGAACATCCGCTTCCTTTCGCGGATGTTGGCTGCCTGGCGCTGGGCATAGGTGATCACCCTTTTCCTCTTGGGACGGCCCAGCGGGGAGGCGCCTCTCCCATGCTCCTCTTCCTCCTCCTCCTCCCCCTCGTCTACTTCGCCCTCCTCTTCTGGATCCTCCTCCTCAAAGCGTGCCAGCCTCCCGCGTCTTCCCTCTCGGAGCACAAGGTCCGGGTCCCCAAAGGGAACCCCGGGTGCGAAGTCGCAGAGGAGAGGGTGCCCAGGGGAGGCCAGGGACAGGTCTGCGACGAAGTCCAGCACGCTGGCGTCCACGCACCTCTCCGGATGGGCCGCCATCGTATCAGCTGGGCCTTGCCTCGCATCGGTTTCTCGCAGCGAGGGGCGAGACTCCTAACAGCTCTGAATCCGACGCGGCACCATCACCGAAAAGGCCAGAGGAATTAATATTTATAACCAAGATGATAACAGGATTAGTGGCACCGATAGGGAAGGCTCTGACAAGGTCGTCCTCTCGAAACTGATGGAAGAAGACAAGCTTGAGCACGCGTGGAAGTCTCAAAGGGACAGGCCTCCAATTCTGAGATCCCTTTCCATGAGCCACCTGGGACACTTTGGCGACAACCCCCAGCCTCTTACCTGCTGTGCTTTTTGTGCCTCTCCTCACCCCCGCAGCCAACTAATATTCTTCAGGCTCCTTATCTCATGTAGCTCTTTTAATTTAGCTTTGGATTTTCAAAGCGAGGATGTTTTCCACCACTCTGGCTTCTCCTTGGCTTCAGAGTAGGAGTCCTGAGTCTTGCCACCGGAGGCTGCCAATGGGTGTGAAATAAGTGCATGTGCTTTTAATGAGGTCCTGAAGAGGGGCCCTGTCTGCCAGGGGTCGAGGGGAGCTGTTTGTCTGGTATCCCAGTGCAGCCGATACTGAAAGGCAGGATCTTCCATTAGCTTAAGTAAGCACGGTAGGGGGGGCGGAGAGCGCATTCCCCAGAGTCGCTGTTGGAACCGGCTTTCTCCTTCCAGGGCATCGAAACAGCTCTCCTGCGGTGTTACAAACCCGACTTCTAAAGTCCGTTTTGTTGTAATCACCCTAACAACAGAGATACTTGAGTTTCCCTTCCCTACTTATCTCCTACTCATGTAAAGTGGAAGAAATTACTTCAGGGCAAAAGTTATGATGGCAATAAAATGGGAAAAAAAAAAGGCTCCTAATATTTTCTCTGATTGTATTTAACTATGTAACCCCAGTGTGGGGGGCAAAGCAAACCCTCGCCCCCTGCCCAAACAAAACAACTTCAATTTCCTTTCAATAATGCGATTTACCCTTTGATAGGCCAATGGGTCGATCAGCCCTCTGTTGTGAAATCTTTCGACTTTTAAATTGCCCATCGGTATTTGTGAACAAAGATAAATCCTCACATCCTTCTGGCTTGTTTTTCTCATTGATTTGTGCTACCCTACAGGACTTAAGAGTGGAGACTATATTAGTTCAATTTAAGGGAGATTTAAAAGCTATCATTAGATCATGTTTTTGAGATGAAAGGAAATTTAAAATTTGGTAAAAGAAAATGAAATTTTACTGATTTCATATTATCTCTAATATTTTAACAAAGACGGGTTCATATTTCCTTTTTTGCCACTGGCTATATTTACTTAATTATTCAGTATAGGGATTTTTAAGAAGACACGGAAGGGCAGAGTAATATATTGGAAAATCGTTTTAAAGATTGCTTAGAAGAAATAGCTGTAAAAGACGAGTAAAGAGATGCCTTGGTTCAAGGAAGAATCCCTGAAGACAGTTCCTACTAAGGAGGTAAGTTGTGTGGCAGTTTGGTTAGTACATTGGACAGCTCCCAGAAGCAGCCTATTTCTTACAGGTCAGCACAATTTTCTTCCTAGCCTTCCCCTGTGTACTCCTAGATACTATTAAAGCAGTATCGTCTTGAATTTTTCCTTTTCTCTCATTCATTCGTTCTTTTAACCCATTTGTGTCTGTGTTCTCCCTTGCTCTTTTGTCCTGTGGTTGATTTTCTTTTCTCTTGCATTTATTCTTTATGCTCCAATGTGCATTGTGATAACTCAGGCAGAGAAGAATTGAAATATATGTTCTTGAAAGATGTTAATGAACATGAGGTCCTTGATTATGATTACCTATTGATTTTTACTCAACTTCTTTCAAAGAGAAGACTGAGAAATTAAAAAAAACGAATTGGAATTTCAACAGTAGCTAAAGGATAACTAAATGGGAGAATTATTTTTTGTTTTGACAAGCATTAACATGCTTTCTAGTTCTTGTTTAACTTAATGCGTTATTCAGTATTTGGACATATTTTATCTTTGATTTTTAGTTGTTAAATATTTCTCATGACTTTTCTTTTTTAAATGCAAACGTAAATGGATTAAATACCTCATATTGTAAGAATCTAGTTTGACAACAGAATATATTAGGACACTTACTGAAGGGAAACATGAGAGAGATTTAAAAGTAAAATTTAATAAAATAGATGTCAGAAGCTATCATGGGAC